TTTTGTTTTTTTTTTTTTTTTTTTTTTTAGAATCGATTTCTTGCTTATGCGTATTTTGTGATTGTTACCGTTTTCTTTAAATAGAAAAACAAGAAAGGAAAGCTCGGTACTTTTTATGTATGTATAGACACGTATAATATGTCATGAATTTTAGGTGGGTTTCGAGTGTATATGCATAGCCTTCCATCCATTTGGCGTGGCATTAGCGGCCGGATCATCGGAAGGTCATCTTTTGGTACTCGCGGCTGATACTGGAGCAGCCGTAGCGACTCTGAGAGTCTGTGGCTCGCCCTTGTCTTGCATCGGATACAATCCTAGTACGATACAAATTTATTTCGAAACATATATTGAATGTTATACAAATTCAAATTAGAGGAAATTTAAATTTACAAAAACGTAAAATAATATATTCCGATCGAATCATTTCCACTTTTGTCTTCAACACCTTTTGAAGGGTTTATATAAAAATTACTTACTTTAGTTTATTGTCTGAATCACAATTTTTATTTACTTTTTTTCTAATACTTTTATACATATAAGATCGCGTGTAACGTAAATTTATATCTATATCTAAATGTGAAAATATAATTTTTATATTTTTTGCCTGAACAGCTGGAGAAATCGTGGCTATGGGTTCTCAAAACGGCAGCGTATATCTTTTTAGAGTATCTAGAGATGGATTTTCATATAAGAAAAGCAACAAGATTCGCGGCACGCAGCCATTAATGCAACTTGATTGGAGTTCCGACAGTCGTTTTCTTCAAACCGTTACTCAAGATTATGATCTCCTGTTCTGTAAGTTTAATTTGTTATTTATATACATTCTTGACCTACAGCTTGAACAAAATGAGATCTATTTAGAATAAATATTTAGAATTTTTGCGTAGCAGTATAAAGCGCATATATATAACATTTTTTATCGTGTAATTTTCCCATTGATTGGTATTAACTATTAATATCTCGTTAGGAAAAGATCAAAAGAGCTCAAATCTAAATATGTATATTATTGAATCCTGGCAACAGAATATACCATACTTTCTTTTGTCTGCTGATTCCATTTAAATTCTACTTTATAATTTTTGTCAAACCAATAGGATTTTCGATTTTTGTTAATTTAACTTTTAATCAACTATATAAAAACCATTATTTTTACGTAACATAAACAATATAACGTGCATTAATTTAACATATATAATAAGAAATTAATAACATTACCAATTAATGGTAGCGATAGATTCTGTAAGAAAAAGACTCAATCTACTTACGTATATTTAAATATAAACTTTGTTTCTAGGGGACGTCAAGGTGCTATCGTCAGAAAAGAGTCCATTGGTTATGAAAGATGTCAAGTGGTATACCCACAATTGTACTGTTGGTTATATGACTTCTGGTTAGTTCTTTATTATTCATTATAGGTATAAGAAATAGTTGGACATATAGCATTAATAAAGAGGAACGGATGTTCGATCCAAGAAATATATAGAAGGAGAATGTGAAACTCTGGAGAGATAGAAAATCTAGAATAGCTCTTAAAATAACAAAAAATGATTAAATAAGCAAGATTTTTATAATTATATTTGCAGGGCAATGGAACAATCGTTACTATCCATTGACTACAGTTGTCACTACCTCTAGTAGATCAGCAGCGCACGATATGTTGATAAGCGGCGATGCTGAAGGATATCTTCGACTCTTCAGATACCCATGTACCACCGCCAAAGCTGAATATGTCGAGGAAAAGGTGTATAGTTCGTTGGTAGCCTGCGCCAGATTCCTCTATAACGATCAAAACGTCGTTACTGTCGGTGGTACTGACGCTGCCTTGATGCTCTGGGAATTGGTCGACGAATAAAAAGATTAAGTCATTAGAACACCTTACTTATTGTTCATGTATGTCGTAGCGACAAATACGGGCGCTGGCGCCTTTTAGTAGATTTTAAGCGACGAGATAAGCTTCTTTGGGAGTCTTTTGATGAATTCAACTTATTCAACATATAAAACAATATTTATTAAATAACATAAAAAGTGTAAATACGCGAAGGAAATTGTCACAAATCGTTCTTTTCTTCTCAATTTCAATTAGAAAACCTAATTCGACATCAGCTTATTTGAGCATTTTATAGATATTGATTATGCATTTTTAACACAACGAGAATTTATAGTTCCATTATGATATATGATCTATTCAATTTGCACCTGATTCTAAATTTTGTTGCTTCAATATATAGGATATTTTATTTCATACGAACAGAACTTTGAGGATGGATTTAATACTGAAAGACAATAATAAAATTATATCATGCAAGTATATGAATCTCGTTTTTGTTGTCGATTACTTATTTGTAGCCCGATAATTTTTGTACAGGAAAATTTAAAACTTTGCTGATCTAAAAAATTTTTTTATTATTTTTATTGTTATTAATCTTTCAAATTATTTTAGTTAGTTACACGACCGCGTAATATATAGATAGATAAAATATAAAACATTGTAATTGTTCAAGGTAATAAAATGATAGAACTATAAAATCTCCGTTTTCCCCCAATATATGTTAAATCGCTGAAAAATGATTACAACTCAAAAACAAGATCGTATACTTAAATTTCAATCACTTTTAATCTTAAATCCATCCTCATATTACGCTTATATAAAAAAGTATAGCATTACATATAAACCAAGTTATTAGTAAAATTGCGAGATGAGCCAATAAATATTGAGATATCCGTGAGTCGATACAAATAAGCTGGGAAACCTTGCGGAAGCATTCGATGTCAACAAAATGTAGCAGACTTGAGACCGGAGCATAGACCTTTGTATAACGCATAATGAATAAGAAAATTAACCAGTATCTTTTATCTCGTAGAAAGGAAGGAAAAATAAAGAGCTTTAATTGGTTCACTTTTTTATGCTTTATGCAAGATTCTGTGCTCTTACTTAGCGTATTATAGGCCAGGGTATTCACTATTGTATATGTATATAATATTGTTATAACATACAATATAATATACAATACACATATACGTACATATATGAAGCTTGAATGTTACACATATACACATACACACACACACACACACACACACACACACACACACACACACACACACACACACACACACACACACACACACACACACACACACAAAACGTTCGAGCTTCATATGAAACTTAAATTTAAGCTATCGCGCGTTTAATGGGAAGGAGGTAATGCACACTCGCTCCTTTTAGATTTATTCTTTTTAGCTGCACTATATCCAAAGTGAGATATGTGTATAGTAAGTATAATCAGATGGAATTGCGATTAAATATTTTGGCCGATGTAAAGAGTATTGGATAGATCTGATAAATAATGAATATATAGCGCACGGTTAAATACTAAATGTATTTATTTCTTTGTGATTTAAGTAAGTCGATGAAATAATAGAATTATCATTTAAATGAATGAAAAAATCAATTTATTTAAAGGAAGTTTGAACGAATATATAGAACAAGCAATTATCAAGTTTGTCAAATGGTACATGGCTCTTGATTGGATCCTATTCGTGGTATATGTTTTAATACATTCGATTATTGTTAAAAAATTTCGAACATGCAACGCGGATAAATACGTGATATGTGTACACCTAGCATACACTGGAGCTTCGGCATTTGTCCTCTTCCATTTCTTCTTTGTCTCCGTTTCGTGAGACGATCAAGAGACGGCAGTAGAGCTTTACTTGCGGGTAAAAGGTATACGACAAGGTAGGATAATGAATAGGCATTTACCACTGCCAGAAGATTCGGATTCTTGATATTGAGTGAAAAAAAGAAGAGCTAAGCGAACGGAAGTTGGGGAACGCAATTGGAAAGATATCACGCACTGTTATAATCATTATAGTTTACCAGAGCGTATAAATGTTAAGGGTTTCGAGAGAAGAGCTTTGTTGCAGGTCAACGCTCCTCTCTTATGAGCCAGTTATCCTTGTTCACATATTTTTAGAGGGAAATGTGGAAGAAAAAAAAGAGAAAATATGTTTTTCGTATTCACATATGCAGTAGTTTGTAAGAAGCGATTAGGATCGTCACTGCCAAGACGTCACGAGTTTAAAAGATTCTAACGAAGTAACGATCAAACTTTGTTTGCGCCATGTAAAATCTATGTCACACATTTATCCTTATATTCCTTATTTATATGCGTATTCAAGATTCGAAGTTCATCCGGATAGATTTAACAATAAGTCTGTAAGTCAAGAAAGAACGGGCGTAGCCGCATATAATGCGATAGGCATACAAAAATTCATGTCCGATATTATAAGAATGCTTAAAATATAAAGTATCGCTGTATTCTTTATATAACTAGATACATGATTTCTTTCATGCACATTTATTATGTATTGACTATTGTTATGCGAATTTGTTTGGATAGGACTTAAGGATCGACGAAAATAAAAGAACAATTCCGAAATGCAGACTTTGGAGACTTTGTATATGTACAGTAATCGTCATTATATACTTCTTATATGGATCTGATATTTTTGGATCGGATAGTTAGATATTCGCTCGCCACGACTACCGGTTAAAAACATTTTATATTCTCTTATCAATTTAATATTTCTAACTCGTTATTTAATTTTTTATCTTATATTTACTTTCTCATACACAAATATCTGCCGAACACTCACAACTGTCCAAGTATCGGACACAATACACTGACCATTAATGAGCTATAACGCATGAATATATTTACGCGTGATAAATCTGATTCAAAGATTTCTTACTCCCCGAAGTAGAAGGCATTAATGAAATTTTACTATCATATATATGTACATTGTATCACGGTAAGTGTGACTTGGACCAAACTCCGATCAACTTACACGGCGACGTCAAGTAATGTTCGTAATATTTTTTTAATAAGAATAAATTATCAATTTTGTATTGTTTAAAGAAAAAGATTAGATTACGGAACAACGTAGTACAATGAAATATTGCGCTCACGTTAATCGCCAACTGAGTTAATTGGAGTTTCGTCGATCGGACAAGTCAGTAGTATGATGTTAAGTCATGACAAGTCATGATTCCCCCAGGATTCCCCATGGCGTTATATCATTTTGATTTGTTCATATTTTTTTACTTTATCGAACGAGTAATTGGAGTTTAATTAAATTCGTCTTAAAAACGCATAGTTATGGGATATACGGCTACCAACATGTGAAAAAAAAATCAAATTCTTTACATTTGCGCGAATATGTACACTTACGGACAAAAAGTCACTGAACACGGTCTCTTTTTTTTATGAATTTTAGAATACATTCAATATACACAATAGAAGATTTTTCTTTATTTTCTGAGAATAAAGTTTCGTAATATCCTGATCTGAGTACTGAAAATCTATAATTCACGTTACATGCCTATACTACAAATTTTTAGTACTATCAGGATATATTTCACAACGCATTCTAAAAAATTAATCGGAGTCCTATTATTAAGTAATAAAACATGTTCATCAGCGACAATATGCCCGGTATAAATAAATATACAATTAGAGAACAAAACTACTGATATAGCAAAAGAGTGAACTGCACTTGCACTGAATTTCTCCCTTTTATGCCCGTTATCACCAATGTAGTTCAATTTTAATTTTAGTTCAACTAACACTCTTCATTCTTTCCTAGTTCTAAGAATTAGAAAAAGATGAAGAGCAAGAGGTGAACTGAGATTAAAGTTAATCTACATTGGTAGAAGCGGGCATTTGCGATCGATTAATCGCTGGAAGATGTTAGACAAAGAGAAACGTCGGAGAAGCTTAATATATGGATATAATTCAGTTTCACTGCATTTGAATCGGACGTTTTTGCTCTCGATTGTACAAATATAAGCACTGTTCGCACAAGTGTAATTGCAAAAAAAACTAATTTGAGCAAAAATGTATTATCCCTCTCTATTTTAGAATGTATTGACGTTACGCGAAACATTTTGTTAGCGATAGCTGAGATATTCCAAAGTATATATTTCTCAGGGTTGGCAACGTTACCTCATAAAAAAAACTCGTTGAGGTTACCGTTCTTTTTCCTAAAAAAAAAAAACTCGTTCCCGTTACTTCGTTATTGATTTGCAAAAATAACTCGTTACCGTTATATCGTTACTTAAAATATAATGAATCGTTTGCTTTTTTCTTGACACTAACAGAATATTATGTGCAGATTTTTTTGATAAATGTAAAAAAAGGTATCAAAATTATATTTTTTAGTAGAGAAATAGAGCTAAAGAAATATGTATATATATATATATATATATATAATATAGGTATACATATATAATTATTAATTATATACATACAATATATAATATATGTATATATTTATATTTATTAGGGTAGAATCTTACGTGATCTCGCTGGTCTCATCACTACAGTCTACATGCTATACGTTTTAACTGCGTTCCGTTTCACTCATAGTATGATATATAATTTTCTCATCGTTTCTTGTTATTCACCGAATATTAAAGAAAGATAAAATGCTACATCATGCACATAATGCGTGAAAACGAACGCCGTCTATAATACGTGTGAACTGTGAAAACAGTGTAAAAAAAGGCGTCGTGATTATATATGCGATTAAGATAATCAATCAGACGTATTCCTTTAACGTAGCATTTCTGTTTTCTATAGCTCTTAGTTATGACTACAACTTTTACGTGGCTAGAAATAAAGTAACGATAAAAGTAACTAGTGAAATTGTTTGATTACTCCGAAAATGTATAGCTGCGTTACTCCGAATGTTACTCCGAAGAAAATGTAACGTGTGCCGTTACCTATTCGTTACCGAAAAAAGTAACTTGTAACGGTAACGACGTTACAAGTTACACAAAAATAACACGTTTACCTGCCAACCCTGATATTTCTCTATCTGAGATTCATTCGAAACATTTTTTTGTTGGTCTCTCTCTCTTGTGGCAGATATCGATATATAATATATGTATAACAAGATTTAGCAAGCACTCACTTTTTGTGGATTTTATGTTGTATATGTATGTACATGCGCGTACATATATACATAGATAAAATTGTGCGCGCATATCGTAATTTAATATCGTAACTAATAAATAATAATAATAATAATGATAATAATGATGATGATGATGATGATAACAATAACAATATAAAATAAAATAAAAATTCAAAAAATTAACTACATGTGTGATAATCGATAAAACAACGAATGTTTGACAAATTTATTACAATTTAATATAAGAATCATCACACATAAAATAAGCTGCATAAACATAAGGCCGCTGGACTAACGACCATCTTATGTATAATAAATCAATATAATGTTTTTATGTCGGATATGCTTGTTGGTTCAGCGGCTTATATCATTTATGTCATTTTATGTGTGATGTCCCTAACTGTGTGAGCCTTGCATATAACATGCGGCAAGAAGCGACATGATATATAATAGGTCACCACATGTTGTTATCGCCTTATTATTTTTTTATTCGATCAAAAATTTCATTCATAATCGTTTCATTCCTTAAACTGCTCTCATATCTTTCTCTCTCGTTCTCTTTCTTTCTCTTAGCTGAGAATTTCAAATTTATAAATATATGTATAGACACACACACACACCACGCGCGCGCGCACACATAACACACACGAAATAATGAATGTTTATTTTAATAAAATTTTTACATTTTCTATATACTCGAAGTAAAACATATCTATTAGGTTGGTTAAAAAATTCGTTTTTTTCCCATGTTTTTTACGTAATATAAAATGTAAGTAAAGAAAAAACCAAAATTTCAATTTCAGTCAACGTATAATATCTTATTTTATGTACATATATATACAAACACACACACACACACACCACACACAGATATATATATAATTTGTGTATATAGACATACATATGTATATGTTGACACTTATAATTTTTGTTCATTTTTTCCCCTATGCAAGTAGAATCAAAAGAAAGGAAAAAAACGAACGAACTCTTGATCAACCTAATATATATTTTTAACTCTTAATACTCTAAATATAACTATTTATAAATACATGTTTATTAACATAATACATTCGTTTATTATTTTCCTGTACAATTCTAACATTAACAAATAAAAAAAATAGAAAAATTAATCCTTTTTGAATCAAATTAATATATTACACATTGTTGCAAATTCAGGCTATATTTAATATTTAATATAATAATCATTGAAATATTTACTCTAATAATATTGGATTACGTAATGGAAATCCAAAAGAAACATTCTTGGCAAATGTTTTTATCTTTCTTAACATAATATGAACACAAAATATTGACATATAACTTTGTTCTTTTACAGTTTTTCTGTATGATAATAATAATATGTAAGAGTGTAGTTTATATATTATTAAAGTTCGGTGATAACATTCAATGTAGTGTTATAATTTCCGAAATTTTTTCATACAGATACTACATCAATATTAATATATATGAGAAATATTATGTGTACAAAATTATTTAGCAGAGAAAATGGTAAATAATAAATAGAAGTAGACAAAGTGATACTAATATTGTTGAAATATTTAAATTTATAGACTGTGGAAGACTTGAATAAAAATTAAATTTTAAAAATAAAATAAGCAGAATGTAAATAGTTCCGCGCTTTACTTGTGAGTTAGAAATTTACTTCATCTTTAATTCAATGCACAAATGTAATAATTACAGTCCAAATCATACCTAATATCTAATAACAAAATTTCTGTAAACATATAAGTAAAAATATCTATCTAAAATTGTTTAAAAATATATTTTTGTATTAAATATTAAATATGACACTGAATTTCTCATTAAATTAACCAATGACGTTTTTCGACTATACAAATCTCTTATAATAATCTTATAATAATGAATAAAACAAAAAACACAAGAGAGAAATAAATGTTCTTGTTTAACTTAATATTTATCAGATAAGTAAATCAGATAAGTAAGGAAAGGGTTGAAGTCAATATCATTAATATTTATATTTTGGAAGAGGACGGATGAGAAACAAAGAGAGAATGGGGAAAGAAAAAGAATTAAAAAGAGAGTATTAATAAAAATAAAGAACAGATTTGATATCATAAGAATTGAATAAAATATAGTCTATAAGCTAATCTAATTGAAGTCTAGTATTACACAAATTTACAACCTCCTATAATCTATACATTTAACTGATACATTTAACGTATCACTCCTATCTCTCTTTCTTATATATAATATATATATATATATATATATATATGTTTCCACTTCATATAATTTTGTTAAAATTCGATATAATTCTGGTGATAAAGATTAGCTTTAAATACTGCAAGCGCTAAAACAATCCTTACTCCTATTATCTATAAATGAAATTTTCATACTGAAGATGCGTACTGTGTCCCTAACAAGTTAATAGAATTTGTTTTATACATGTAGGCATAAAAGAAAACAAAAAGAAAGAGAAAAGGAAAGAACAAATATTAAAAATGGAGAAATTGAAGCTATTGAACGTAATACATATTAGTTATTCTTTTATTTACTTTTAAAATTTATTGGTCATATAGTATATATCTATTTCTTGTCTATAGCATAAAATAAATAGAAATAGATATATAGTATATATCTATTTCTATCGATTTTTTTTTATCTTTGCAAATAGGTTGACAGAAAATTTATAGAAATATTGAAAGAATAAAAATTAATCTTAAGTGTGCGAGTACATAAAATTGATTTGCAACTAAATTAAAAAAAAAAAGTTTGATTTTTCAGAAAAAAAGAACATGTATAATTTCAAGTTTACTTCAATTTCCCGTATTGTAGAAGTGCGAAAATATTCCTTTCTTTTAAATTTATTAATACTTTTTTTTCTCCTGTTATTCCTTTTTCTTTTGTTCTTCCTTTTTTTAATTATTCTCGTCTATTTCTGTTGTATCTTTTTCTTTCCTTTTCTTTCTTTTTTCTCTTTTCTTCAATCATTTACGAATTTTCTTCTTTCTCCTCTTTTATCCTTGGCATATCCGAAGGCTGACTATCCAAAGGTTGACTATCGCTATTACGGCTCGGAGTATCATAGTTCGGAGTCGCACTGGGTGCATAAACGTTTGCCAATTGTTCATATTGATTCAAATCTCCACTGTGCTGACTAATCTCTGACATATTGCCTGTATTGTTATTTTCTTTCGGAAATAATTCCTGCTCGTATTTTATTCTTTCCATGTCGCGGATCTCTTCTTGATCTCTTCTCGTCATTCTCTCTTGGCGACACTGCAAAGTATCGCTTGTAATATTATCGTTAACACGTTCGGTAACAGTGGAAGAGGGACCACCAGCTTTGGTGAAGAGGTGTATAGGTCGTTGGAATCCTTTAGAAGGATGAGGCGGTATAGAGACGACTTCGCATTGGCAAAATCCGACAGTAGATAGAAGATACTGCGTGAAATTATGCGGCCTGAATTCAATATTATGATAATTTTTATGAATTCGTTCCTGAAAAAAAAAAAGTAATAGAGATCAAATATTGATTCAAAAATTTGAAAAGGAATATGTAAAAGCAATAAATAAAAGGAGCAAATATAAATTTTTTATTAATATACAAATATTTTTAATAATAGTGTACTGTTCGTTATTGCATTACTCACTGTGAGATTCTTTTTCTTAGTGTAACTAGCCCAACCCTGAGGTTCCAATACAAGGACTCCACCAGGACGTAATTGCGCATGCATTCGCTTAAAAGCTTGTTTTAATCCAGTATCGCCAAAATTCAAGTGAATCCATTTGGTGATAGATAAGCATAAGATTGTGTCAAATTGCGTCTGTTCCGCACACAAAAGTGAATCGTTTTCAAGCACATAATTACCCTGAGAGAGAAATCAAGCACATTTGATAAAATTTAGATTGTGATATGGTTGTAACAAAAATATTCGGCATTATAATGAGATATATGATTAATTAAATATATTACCTGCACAAAAACGACATTATATGGAAATCCTTTATGTTTATTTTTCGTAAATCCTGGAATATCTACAGGCCCATAGCTAATTGGCATTGACATAGGAAAGAAGCTAGCATCAGAAGAGTCCCTCTTGTCATTATCCTCATTGCTCGCAGGACTTTGTACACAATTAACATAGTGTTTCACATTCTTCCGAGCGATATTTATCAAAGTTCTATCAATATCAATTCCTGTAACACTTTTGGCACCTAAATCCCTGGCAACTGATAGAGTAATATGGCCAATGTTGCATCCAATATCCAGAATATCCTTTTGTAGAAACAGTTCCTTTCGCTGTGCAAACACTTTTAATCTAGAATCTACTTCATGATGAGGATTTCTGTATCCATAATATCTATTGTAGTTTCCATATTGGTATCTAGCATCTTTAGGCCTAAAATTGGGCATAGAATGCTGCTGCTTCTTCTTTTTATCCTGACTGGGTCTATGTTGAGGTCTGGGTTTCCATGCACCAGGCTGTGGAATCACTGGGCTCACTATCTTATCCTTTGCATCAATTTTTCTTAATCTTTTATCCTTCATTTCTTCTAAACCTTTCAATCGTAACCTATTTTTATCTTTCTGTGGACTTTCTGTCTTATTCTCTTTTAAACAATTTTCATTTTGTGTACTTGGAGCTTCTTCTAAGCTAATTTTTTCGTCAGTAAGTCTTTCCGTTAAAGATTTATCCGTTATGTCGTTTCCTTCAGTTTCCTTCAGTTTTTCGTTAGGGTCCGCCTTTTTGTGTGTTCAAAAAATAAATGATATAAATATTTTACATATATATATGTATATCGTGCATGCGTAATTACAAAAGAAACAAGCACATTAAGTATTTAAACATTTTAAAAATTAAAATAACATAAATTACAATTCAAAATCATCATCTATAAATTTATAAATCAGTTATAAATTACTATCTCTTGATAAATAAATATTTAAACATGAATAAAAATCTATTTATAAGTAAATATAAATGCATCACAACTTACTGCTTTTCCTTCGTCTTTTCCAGATCCAGAATAGGCTCTCTTTCTTTTCCTATTTCTCCGTTTTAAATTTCTTTTTGTCGGCGAAATGAGCTGCTTTTCGTATTCTTCATTATCATTACAATTTGTCAAATTCAAAGGATCACAAATATTTGGAGGAATAATCACTTCAATAATCTCTTTTTTATGTTTTGGAGTAGGAAGAGGACTTGATTTTGGAGTCACTGCATTCATAGCACGATTGATTTCTTCATCTTGCATGCTATTTAGATTTAAGGGATCACAAATATTGCCTCCAAGCAAAAATTTTGTGGGAGGGATGATGATACCTTCCTTCTTTCTACGTTTGTAGGGAGGAAAGGACTTTCCATTGCTGCAAAAGCTGCTTTGAGGTCGCTTTCTATGCAGCTGCTTGAAATAGCGATTGTCATCATGTTTATTGTGCTTTTTATGTGAGAGATTGAAAATTTTTCTAGATTTTTCATTTTCTTTCTTGTTATTTTGACTCACTTTTGGAGGACGATCCACTTGTACAGAGGACATTTTGCTCAACCTGAAAAATTAAAAGAAAACATGACACAATGTAAATATACTAATATAAAAAAAAAATACATAATACAAACAAAGATCTATTCATGATAATTATTTAAGATGTTGATTTTTTTATATATATGGAAAAAAATAAAAGACATGGAGATACATTGATTAACCAAAACATTAAAAAAAAAGAAATAATATAACACACAAAAACTAACAAAACATTAATTTATGATTTAATTTAATTTGTATATTTTTTTTGTTTTTATTATGATGCTTTTTAGTAACTATAAATACATAATGAGAACCTTATAAAACATAGTGTAACATGATACAGGTACAATATTATGAAGAAGAGAATAAAGTAATTATTATTTTTGATATTTTAACGTTATATTTTAAAATTATAAAAAATAAATATATAAATATATTTAGACAACAATGAAATTGTTTTAAATAAATAATTTAAATAAATCTGTCATTTAAATTTAAATAAATTTAAAAATATAAGAGATATAAATTCAATATATATAACTTAATTATTAAATATTTCTGATATATAAATTATAAAGTTAATTTTTTATAGCAAGTTTTTTTTACTATATATACACACATAAACACACACACACACACGCACACATATTATGTAATATATATATAGTTATTCCGTTTTTTATTTAAAAAAAAAAAATGTATTTAAAACACAAAGTCTAAATGGAACAAAATGTAAAAAATAATGCTGATATAAAGAAAGGAAATGCGTACATTCTCTTTATTGACACTTTCTACACTATTTCGATCTGCCCACAAGTGCAGCTAAAGGAAAAATCCGTTTATCTTATACGATTGGAGTTAACTGAATTTTTTTGCATTTATTTACACTACTAAATATTCTCCGGAGACTTTGTTGCCTGAGAAGGAAGGTGGAAAATGTGAAAAAAAAGATAGCTAAAATAATTAACAGTATTTTGCGTAGATTTTACAGGCCGGTAAAGATATCTCTTGTCCACGTGATGGCGCGCATGCGGCGCAGCGTGGTGCGCTACTGCTGCCGCCGGTGCTGCCACCACCGCCGCCATCATCGTCACCGCTGTTGTCGACAGCACGTCATGAATTCGCCATATTCGATTTCACGGGATTTTCTTTTCGTCAACATTCACGCCGCCGATTACGAATATGTATGCTCACCTCGATAAACCGACACTCTCACTCACTTCTCTCTTCTAATTGCTCGTACAACTGTCTTGACGATAATTCTCTTCGCGTGCCTTGTTCGGAACTACGGCATCCATGTGACGCCGTCCCATCTACAATGGCGAATAACTGCTTGTCGAATGCGAGCGGCGACCGAAAGCTCGCGCCGCACTGCGACGCCATTTTCCATTAAGAGCCACCGAGCGACAGGGTCGTATTAACGAATCACGAGAGACCTGAAGAAATTGACGAAATTTCGAAAAATATATTTCATTTTCAATTTATTACATTTTCGGATTATTTCAATAATTTTAAAATTTCAGGAAAAACAATTTATCTTTTCGAAACAAATCACATAGGATATAATTATGTAACGTTGTGTGAGCTATATAAAAATAACTGCAATTTGAGAAAAAATCGATTTAAACCGTATTTATACTTTAGGGCTATTCTGCAATAGGTCGCTAGTCGTAAGTTATAAGAAATTGACCAATCATAGTTGAATATAAAAAGAATAATTGATGAAGATTGGTTCATTTCTTAATAATGGCTTAAGGTTGATTTATACTGGCCGTAAACTGTTAACTTATGCCGTAATCTGTAAAAATTGACCAATCACAGTCGAATGAGAGGGGAATAATCGATTATAATTGGTCAATTTTTACAGATTACAGCATAAGTTAACAGATTACGGCTAGTATAATCCAACCCTTACAGTTTGTAAACCTACAGAATAGGATCATTTAAACTAATCGTAATCGTAATCTATAAGGGCTGCGAACAATGGAGGAACAGATATTAAATAATAAAATATTAACTTATCAGGTACCAGAATACACGGTTACATCGGAATACACGATTCTGATAGGTTAATATTTTAATATCTAATATCTGTTCCTCCATTGTGCGCAGCCCTAACAATCGACTAATCACATTAAGGGCCAATTTCACCAACGTCGGTTAAGCTAACCGACGGTTAAAATGTCAACCGTGATTGGTTCATTCTGGTCGAAGACAAATGCGATTGGATAATTCTATTGGAATTAACCGTCGGTTAGCTTAACCGACGTTAGTGAAATTGGCCCTAAGTATTTTCCTCTTATTCTATTGTAAGAGAAGAATGCTCGGTAATTGTTCACTTTAGGGAACCCGATGACCTTGACCATATGTTGTCAAGGTCAAGGTCATCGGAGCTGGGTTCCCTAAAGTGAACATTTACCAAAAACTCCCTATTATGCCTGCGTTCGTAAACCATAAAATCTGTAGAGCAGCGTTTGATTAACCAATCAAAACAAAAGGAGCAAAGATTTGTTTATCCCAATTGGTCATTTGAAGTTATTGTATACTACAAATGGAATTTCCGAACGCACCCCGTGGAGTTGGCGCACATTAGCAAAATTTAAAACTATGATTATGGTCAGTTATGGTCTATGGTTATCAATTGACAACTGATTTTCATAAAACGGTAGATAGCGGTTTAAAAACGATAGAGCGGTAGCAGAGCGGTATTTGAAGCTAAAAATCGGTATCTATATCTATCGCTAAGCGGTAGGGCAACACCGATACTGACAACTGTCGGTAGACGTGAAAGAAAGAAAAGAATATGGGTCCAAAGGGACCTTTATATTTAGAAGAAAAAAATAAATAAAATTCGTTCTGACATTCGCACTAGAATGTAGTTGAGGTGCAGATAATTTTATTTATTATATAGATAGGCCGGTATTCATATAATCAGTTCTTATATTATTCAAGATCGTCTTAAGATCAGTTTTGAGGTGTCATGAATCAATCAGACATCTGCATTAGCAATTGGAGACATTACTTAATAAAGCCCGTGTCACACTACGGATTGTGGACGCGGATCGGATTGAGATTGCGGATCGCGCATCGGAATTCAACTAATTAAGATAAAGCTGCTTTGTTTTGATTGACTGAATATCGATGCGCGATCCGCAATCTCAATCTGATCCGCGTCCATAGTGTGACACATGTGCAAAATCATGATATAAATACAAAAGGGTAGACTCACGCGCATAATTGCTCCAGATCAGAAACTGCAACCAAACCACGTCATCATTACGCGGCAAATCTAAATGATTAAAAATGAAGTAATTAGTAAATTATGGTAGCTTTTTTTCATCCTTCGGTAACTATGCATCCTTTCGATAACTATTTTTGCACCCTTTCACTGCACAAGCACTCATTGCAGCCAAAATTTAAATTCGTCCACTGGAGCATACCCTTGTATTTATTCCATGTATTTATTAAAGTTAATCTGCATTGATGGAAACAGACATTAATATTGTATATTTTTTTTATTGTTAATATGTTTCTTCTATTGTGGATAGGACTTTACATCAGGTCAGCCTTACGCGCGAATATATGCGCGTATAGCCTGCAGTAGATCGATCTATCAAATAAGTCCAATATATAATCGCAAATTTTTTCAGCCACGTTAATGAAAATCGTGTTAATACTCGTGTAGACCCCGTGGTATTTTTTCGCCACATTTGCATCTTATTAAAAGATCTCATAAATTTTTTTCTAGATCTCGGTAAGATTTCAAAATTTGGCTGAGAATGGAGAACGACAACTGCAATCACGAAGATAATTTGAGAACAACAATACAATTATTTAAAGATCAGGACCAGGAACAACGTGATATTATTGCGGAGGTTAAACGTAAGATTTTATGGGTAAGTTGTAATATTTAATCAAGTTGTGTTAATTCTCATTTAGTAAATTAATTATTGATTTATATCAGTAGATATAATTATTTAGTTAAAAAAGAAATTTTATTATATTCGGATTTAAAAAAGTTTTTAAAACTTTTGCATTACATTTGCTTTTTAAGATTTTCAATGTTATATTGAAGTTTTTTCAATAAGTATTGCAATTTGTGGCCAAGTTACGTTAAACTAAATACTGCACATATACATAAATATACACACGCTCATCCCAAACAGAATTACAATAATGACATTGAATGATATTAAATGAATTAAATATGAAAATACAGGGGGGTAAAATCTAACCCCTGTATTGATAGTCAGACCTTATACGGAAGGCTTAATTAAATTTATCTTTAGATACTCAGTAGCCAATAAAATAATTCGTAGATCATCTGAAGATAAATTTAAGTAGAAGAAGAACTTTATTACCTTCAAGCATACAAAGCCTAAGAAGGGGGCTTAGTTTACAGTTTATCTATCTATCCTCACACATCCATCCATACTCTGCTCTCGTGCATATTTCCTCTTTATCCTAGTTTACTCAACTAGCCTTCATTCATCTATTAGCATAATACGTTACAACCTTTCCTCTCTTACCTAATTATCTATTTAATTTATCAATTCCTCCTTGCAAGTTACAAAAAAAATTACCTCTCTAGTCATTCTTGTATTCCTAACCCGTTCCCTTGCTTCACAATTCTATCCTTTCCCATTCCTTATTCTATGTTATTCTATTTCTCGTAGCTACTCTTTAAATCCGTACATGAAGTCTATATTCATACCTATTCATAATCCTATTAATTCCTATTCAAAATCCTACGTTTCACTCTATCAATCAACTTATCTATGTATACCTTTTACTCACGCTTTCTTTATAAATTTACTTCGCCTAAAACTACTTGCACAGAATTTCCTTTCTAGTCATTCCTATATATTCCTGACTCATTACCTTGCCTCAAGGAAGCCTTGGTCTGACCATGAATACGGGGGTTAGTATTTAAAATATAATAAATAAATACAAGGCTAATAAGAGTCAAACATTCATACTTAAAAACTAAAACAACGCTGATGTATTGACATAACTATATATATATATATATATATAAATTTGTTGTGTAAGTTCTTTTATATATATAGTTATGTCAATGCATTAGCGTTGTTTCAATTTTTAATTTTGAATATTTGACTCTTATTAGTCTTGTACTTATTTATTATATTTTGATATTAAATGACGTTTTATTCAGCTTGTGGTGTATTCGCTTGAAAATAATATATATATATTCAGAGAATAAGAGCATATACACATTCTGAAAAGTTAAAATTCTTATATTTCTAATATTTCTCCTATTGTGCGCAGATCCTTACTTTCAAGCTGCGCACAATAGGAGAAATATTAGAAAAACAGATATTAAATATATTTAATATTAATATAATTTGGAAATTTATTTGAGCGGATATTAATTTAATTTAATTAAATATAAGAATTTTATGCCCGTATTTAGACATTATAAATTTCCCTTTTAATCTCTAACTTATATTATGTGTCAGATAATTCTATACAATCCTTTAGAATCTTCTAGTCTTCTACAAAGTATAAAAAAATTCCTGAAATATTTTAGCTGTCAACTGCTGTAGCAATCCTTGACAGCTGAGATATACATACTATAATACATACTATTATTTCAGGAATTATTTTGCTATGTGATACACCGGACATATGTAATGTATATCTCAATTTGCTGCATATTTTACAAATTTTAGAAATACGAAATTGTGTTTAAAAAAAACTAAAAAATAAAACTATACATAGTGTCAGTGTTACATATATATTGCTTTTATTAATGTTTAAACAAAAAATACTGCAAAAATACCTTTTCAGACTGATTTTAAAAAAGTAACGGAAAAATGATGAAAAGTTACTTTTTCAAGTACGATAACTGTGACGAGTTACTTTTATAACTGGTAAAATGTGTGTGTGGTACTTGTTACTTTTTTTACTCAGTAATGAGTAACTGTAACTTGTTACGTTTACAAAGTAACTTTCCATTCCCTGTATATATTTAACACAGTTTTAAAAAAATCTGTAAAATATCTTTTAATAATCATATGTAAAATTGAAATAATTCAGATTAATAAATAAATATTAAATTAAATCAGTAATCATATATTGAATTGGAATATAATAAGCCTATTTTTTTATTTTTAGGACAAAGCGTGGAGCACACCCCCCTCATGTTCCTCTTATACGTCTCAATTGTTTGTAATCTCCCAGGCAAAAAGAACGATGCCTGTACCTCCAAATGCTCCTATCAAACCGAAGAAACTGTTCTCGAAAGAGGGTTTGAAACCTAAAAGGCTTTGCTTTATAGACGAAGAGATGGATGAAACAGCAGACGAAAACTCTTCTGAAAAAAGTGTAGATTTCTTTAAAATGTTCAAACAGAAAAAAAAAAGTTCAAAGCAACAGAAAGAATCAGGAAGATTAGTTCGCAATAACTTAAATACCATGTTGCAAAGTATGCGACTTGAAAATAAGGAAAATAGACAAGAAGATGTACAGGAACGATATGAAAAGAAAGCGAGAAATAATCGTTCTGTCGCAAAAGAACGTGCGAGAAATAATAATTCTTCCCAATCATCAGAATTAAAATGCAGTCCAAAAGGTGAATTTGTATTCTTCCGTATATAACCTGCTGGAAGATATATTAATGATTACGATTATTGTAATGGCACAATAATAATAGTAAAAATGATGATGACGATGACGACTCAACAATAATGACAAGACTGATGATAATAATGATGACAAAATCAGTGTACTATTTTAATGAATTAATGAGTTTATTAAATATTGAAAAGTTATTCAGTATGATATCACAATAATAATTGAATTAGTATATTCGTAATTGATCAATCATTAGTGTAAATGTGATTATTAAATTAGTACATATTACAAAAATAATAAATAATTCCCATAAATGAATAAAAACGTATTCGGATTGAAAAGAATTCATTTTAAAATGTTTGTGATAAGGCTTAATATGCATTAATTTTAAAGTAATATGTGTAAATTCCCTTCCCCCCCCCCCCCCCAATTGCGCGCCGAACAATCGTCGGTCTTGAAATGCAACTCTATCATTAGATGAGTTAATAGAGTTGCATTTCAAGATCGACGATTGTTCGGCGCGCAATTGGGGGGGGGGGGGGGGA